TGCGCTCTATCACTGTATTAAGAGGTTTAAGAATATATAGTGGAAAATGTTATTTATATTTTATTCAACAATTTACTTTATGATGAATGTATCTGTTAAAGAAGATATGTGTTAATGTGTTTGATGTAAATAAGTGGGCTGGACGTTCATGTGACTGAAGGAAGAAACACGCAGAACATGTATGATTTCTTCAGTGTCTCTATGAGAGACAACAGCGATATTTTAAGGAACAAACCACCACAACAACCAAGGTATTTCTTGTATTACATTTTTCTTTCATATCTCTTTGTTTGTGGGTATGCATGCGTGCATTTCTGATTTCTAATAATTAAAAAATGTTTAAAAAATATATATATTTTTAATATTTTTATTATTATTTACAGTAGCACCATAGCATTTGTCCAAATGAATCATGTGTCAATTTCCAAATCATCTGAAGTCAAACGGAACCTTTATATAAGGGATAAGTTTGTATTTGTTCCCTAAAATCTGTTTACACTTTCTGTTCCTCACACAAAACTATTGCATGGCTTCAGAATATTTAGAGTTTTGTCATATAGGTCAGTTTATAGTGCATCATTTTTAACATCAATTCAATCGGTCTTTCTACAGACGACATGATGCATGGAGAGACTTTGCACGAGGTCTCCAATATCAGCTATGATTATGACTTCAACTACACATATGAGGATTATTATCCTTTGGTTACATTAGAGGAGGAGAATTTTTCGTTTAGGATCATCAACGCCATTTGCTACAGTCTCATCATCTGCATCAGTCTACCCGGAAACAGCTTTGTGCTTTGGGTGGTCTTGAAGAAAGTGGCTTTGAGCAGCTCTGCTGACTGCTTGCTCCTCCATCTGACAGTGTCCGACCTCATCTTCACCTTCACGCTGGTTCCCTGGACCATTAATCACATCTGGGGATGGATTTTTGGAAATCTGGCCTGCAAGTTGTTCACCTGGTACATCTTTTTGGGCCTGTACAGCTACATGATGTTCCTCACAGTCATGACAGTCCATCGATACGTGGCGGTGGTGTATCCGGTGTTCGCTTCATCTGTAGGGAATCGTAGCAGACTTTACACGCACATCTCCTCTGCTGTGGCATGGTTGATCTCTGTAGGCTTCAGTCTGCCTGAAATGATCTTCTCTGAAACTGTGGACGGTCCTGATGGTGTATTTTGTGTTCCCAACTATAACTCAATGTTTATGGAGTTGTTTGGATACTTCTCTCAGATAATTCTCTTTTTCCTGTTGCCATTCCTGGTTATTGTGTTCTGCCACACACGGATGGGATTTGCCATCCTTCAGAGTCGCATCCGAAGCAGAAATCACGCCGTATGTGTCATCCTAAGCATCGCCGTGGGATTCTTCATCTGCTGGGCGCCATATAACATCTTCCTCTTCCTCTTGTCCTTGAGGTCTTTAGGCGTTTTTGCATTGAGGGAAAGTGTTTGGGAGATCATCTACTGCATCACTCACATTCTAGCGTATTCCCACTGCTGTCTGAATCCACTCGTCCACATCTTCGGAGGGAAGAAGTTCAGGAATTACCTGCCATGGAGCAGAGGTTTCCGTCGGCTCTCGCAGAGGTTCAGCACGCAAACATTCAGCAACCCGAGCAGCTTCTCGGGCCAGTTTCATCTCTGATCGTGTTAAAGTGTCATCATGACGTCATTTTGTTGAGGCTCTAAAGTGAGTCACGTGATGTTTACATTGGCTCAAAACATTCTCAGGATGTTCAGATGAATAACTGATGGATCGTATAGTTTTTATTCATCAACAATCAAACCAAAAAACATGCAAGAGTGAACAGAAATTTTAGAATGACAAAAAAATTAACAAAGCATGCGCCAAATTCTTAGAAATGCAATTTAAATTCATTCATGTTGGTTTCATACATTAAAAAAAAGTTTAAGTGGTGTAACTATTAAGTAAAAAGTAATATATTTTCCTGAAAACATGAATTAATAATACACCTTAATGAATGAAAACTCCTTAATAATTATTTGCAAAAAAATATTTTAAAAATATTTTTATTTTTTTCTGACATTAT